GTCCCCCTTCTTAAAAAGAGGGACCACCACCCCGGTCTGCCAGTCCAGAGGCACTGTCCCCGACCGCCATGCGACGTTGCAGAGGCGTGTCAACCAAGACAGCCCAACAACATCCAGAGACTTGAGGTACTCAGGGCGGATCTCATCCACACCCGGTGCCTTGCCACCAAGAAGCTTCTTGACTACCTCAGTGACTTCAGCTTGGGTGATGGACGAGTCCACCTCTGAGCCCTCAGCCTCTGCTTCCGCATCAGCAGACATGGCGCCGGGATTGAGGAGATCCTCGAAGTATTCCTTCCACCGTCCGACAATGTCCCCAGTTGAGGTCAACAGCTGCCCACCTCCACTGTAAACAGTTTTGGCAGGGCACTGCTTCCCCCTCCTGAGGCACCGGACGGTTTGCCAGAATCTCTTCGAGGCCAACCGATAGTCCTTCTCCATGGCCTCACCGAACTCTTCCCAGACCCGAGTTTTGACGGTACCCGTCTGCTGTCTCAGGAGTCCCACGAGCCAACCAGGCTCGAAAGGACTCCTTCTTCAGCTTGACGGCATCCCTTACTTCCGGTGTCCACCACCGGGTTCGGGGATTGCCACCACGACAGGCACCAGAGACCTTACGGCCACAGCTCCGAACGGCCGCATCGACAATGGAGGTGGAGAATATGGTCCACTCGGACTCAATATCTCCAGCCTCCCCCGGGATGTGGTCAAAGCTCTGCCGGAGGTGGGAGTTGAAGATCTTTCTGACAGGGGATTCTGCTAAACGTTCCCAGACGTCCCAAACGTTCAGTTCAATTCATTTTGTGTAGTACCTCGGCAGACCCTCACAATACGTTTGGGTCTGCCGAGCCTGTCCAGCTTCCTCCCCTGCCATCGGATCCAGCTCACCACCAGGTGGTGATCAGTTGACAGCTCTGCCCCTCTCTTCACCCGAGTGTCCAAGACATACAGCCGGAGGTCAGATGAAACAACCACAAAGTCGATCATCGACCTCCGGCAAAAATCAAGCAAAACAAAAACCTATTCACCCACATTTTTTGTTTTTGCAGGGGTGGGCAAGTCTTCCTTGGTCCATCTTTTATGTCAGAATCAGGTTTTAGGAAATCCATCATGGACTGTTGGCTGCTCAGTGGATGTACGGGTAAGTATGTTGAACAGCTTCTAATATACAACACTTTATTAACATAAAATCTAAATTGATAATGCTATTTCTAATTCAATTCAGTTCAATTCATTTTGTGTAGTACCAAATCACAACAAAAGTCAGGTCTAAACCTTACTATTATTACTATAGAGGAAAAACCCAACAAATCCTCCTTGAACAACACTCTTAAATAACAAAATGTGTAAAGTGTGAAAATGTTAGTACCACAGTTTGTGTAAAAAGTAACATTGTTACACTTGACACCTGCTATCTGTTACAGATTAGAGGATTTAAATAGTTAAATATTTGAAATAATTATTCAACTACAGGTTCAAGACTATAAGGAGGGAACCCCAGATGAGAAAACCTACTACATTGAACTTTGGGATGTTGGAGGATCTATAGGCAATGCCAGCAGTGTCAAAAGCACCAGAGCAGTCTTCTATAATTCAGTTAATGGTAAATTTGATTTTATAATATCACTTAAAAAAAATTAAATCATAAAGTTTATTATTCATGTATAATCTGTTATGTTCTGGATTCTTTTAGGAATCATATTGGTACATGATTTGACAAATAAGAAATCTTCTCAGAATGTTTACCGTTGGTCATTAGAAGCTTTGAACAAGGATTCTTCGCCAACCGGAGTCATTGTCTCAAACGGGTAAGTAGATGTGCAGCTTTGGTAGTGTTCGTTTTTACAGGGTGAAGAATTTATGCACACCAATACAGCTGACTGAAAATAGTGGCTCTTGAGGAGTTCAGTTTTGTTTTTTTTTGTTTTGTTTTTTTGTTCCCTGCAGTGAGTATGATAGAGAGCAGTTTGCTGAGAACCCAGTGCCTTTGCTGCTGATTGGCACCAAATTTGACCAGATCCCAGAGAACAAACGCAATGAAGTCCTCACCCGAACCGCGTTTCTGTCTGAAGATTTCAACGCGGAGGAGATCAATCTTGTGCGTAAACTTTTTATTCCTCATGATTCAGGGGCTAAGAGGAAAAAGAGTGGAGAATAACAATAAGAGGAGTGAAAATTAGGTGTGGATATTATCTTTGCATATGAAGAGGTGGTGCATGTTGTAGTTGATACAGGGAAAAGAATCTAAATTTTAAATGCAGTTGCCCACTGTCCTTTGCTGTATTAAAAACGTCCAGTTTCTATTGACATAAACCACCTCTGAAATGAAATTTCCTCTCAAAACAGTTCTGTATATGAGTTTTATGTTTGATGTTACAGAGAGTAATTGGTGTTATAATAGGCAAGTATATCTCAGTTTATAAGTAGAATGGATTGAGCTACAATAACCTTATCTGCTATAACATTTTGTATTTGTGAAAGCTTCAAGGATATTAGACAGATTAAATTATTTAAATGGATATTTTTTTGTTTATTTTTTATTTATTGAGATTAAAATATTTAATGTCACTTATCGTGGTAGCTCATCTCTGCCATAGCGTTTGGCTTGATCACACAGCAGTAGAATCACATGCTCTCTGTTGTGTCATAAAAAGGCAATCAGACCTATAATAACATTGTAGTTCCTGTGTGTATGATTTGAAAATCTCTTCGGTGACACTTGTGGTAGTAGTAAAGCTGACACCATATGCAGACAGCAATGTAAGCCAAATTTTCATCAGAAATGTTCAATTTTTCTGAAAAAAATTCATCAGAACAATTAGAAAGAAAGTACTGTAATATCCAATACACCAGCAAGTTGTAAGTTTTCAAAGAAGAAATGAAAGGACTCACTTTCTTTGAGGTTTGTGGCTGAAGTGCTGCTTTGTTTCCCCAGGACTGCACCAACCCAAGATATCTTGCTGCAGGCACATCAAATGCAGTGAAGCTTAGCAGGTTCTTTGACAAGGTGAGAAACCCAGAGTTGTGCAGTGCAACATATGTTTCTCTGGAGATTGTCGTTGCAGTAAATACAATATGCATGTAAAGGACTTTATTCTTTATTCATTAAACTTCTGAGCTCTGTGGTGAGGAACATAAACCATCAAATGTAAATGTCAGTCGGTGTCCTGCCATCTACTATTAATAGCATTTGAAGTTTGCAATCATTTGCAATTTTATGCCATTCTCAAATTATTATTACAATGAGGGAAATGGGATAAAAATATTTTTAGTTTATGAATATTGTAGTAACATAACATCTTTGACTGTGTCATGTAAAGTTTAACATAGTTATGCAATGATACCTATTGTGACATATTATATGTAGGGACACTTGTTAAACAGAAGTATGAAAAAGTCATTTCCTGTTGTGTGCTGTACCTAACTTGCAACTTGTGTGACATTGAGATGATGCGATAATCAAGTAAAAATCAAAATTGGTCTTCTTAGTACAAAGTTTTCTCTTTCAGTGTATATATGGATATGTGAGTAAAGACAAAAATATCTTAAAACCTCTAAACAGGTAATAGAAAAGAGATACTTCACCAGAGATCCAGGTCAGGTGAGTTTTTTATTTCCTGTCTTTATTTCTGTTTCAAAACTTAGATTATAAAATCACAATGTCTCAGTTATTCTGATTAAAGGAAATTTTCACACAAAAGTCAGTATTCACTTATGAGGTCTATGGTTTGGTTTTAAGATGGCATATTCCTTTCACTTTCTCTGCAGGTGGCCAGTTTCACCGACAGAAAACGGTTCAATTTCAAAAGCTTGCACTATGACTGAGAAGACATAACTGCAGTCACAGTGGCCTGTGGTTTGATCATAGTGCCTGTGGCCTTTTACACCACAACCTTTACACTCACTGTGGCATGCCATTTCTCCTTTATGTTAATCAGTCTATACATGTTTGTGCCATATTATACAAACATTCAAGCAAATGCCCCCCAAAATTGTAAACCATTTTAAAAATTGAGATAAATGTGGTTGATAAAACCTGCACAAGAAATTTACAAAAGGCAAAGGAAGCTTATATCAAAAATGAAATTACACACACTAGAAAAATTATATGAAAGCATGTAGGCAGATGGTATAAATGTACAGTGAAATTTTGTGTTAAATGTCCCAATTAAAACAAGTCTTTAAAATACATTGAGTTCCTTTTTTAAGCTAAGACCATTAATTTTCTGTTTGCTTTATTAACCCGTGTTATTTAACAAACTCTTGGCCTCTAAATAGCAGCTATCCCTGCATCTATCCCTGCATAATCTTCTTAATCCAGGGAAGAAAGAAATTAATTTTGGTGAAGACATGGGGATACTTGGGATCACTGCAGTCGTCTTTAAAGGTAAAGGCTGTTATACCCATAGGCTTGCTGTTGCAGAGAAGTGGTCCACCTGAATCACCCTAGGAGGAAGGTAAAAGAAAGACTTGATTGAGTAATTGGTGAAAAGTTGACATTTGTTTTTCATCAATAAAATAAGAGATCATGAAATTTTAGTAGCGTTATTGGTGTGTTTTGTTATAAAGTAGGTAATGGTTGGTTGCTTATTTGTTAATCTCTTTCAAATACAGTTTAATTACCTGGCAAACCCCTCCATTCTTTCTGTTAAATGTGGTACATATCATGTGACTGCTGTTGAAGTGTTCTTTCCATTTGTTTCTGCACTCAAAGCTGAATTGCATCTTCTCTGTGGTTTCCTTCAGTACATCTGAGGAAGACCTTCCAGCTCCAGTGATGCCCCAGCCAGCAACAGTACATTTAATATTTGCTGGGATTTTCCCATCTTTCCTAGGTAGTCCGATGACTTGCACGTACTTGTTCAGTGTGGCTTTTTTTTGTAACTGTGAAAGAGAACAGCACAGAACAGGAAATCACAGCAATTTGGTGTCTCACTTGTTATTTTTTGTATTTCATAAAGTAGTTTAGAGTTTTTTTTTTTATCTTCTCTTAAAGCAATTGAAGTTTAAGCAAAGTTGTCCACCTCCACATCCTCAGTGCACGTGTAAAATCACTGTTTGCAATGCTACTTAAGAATGAGGAAATTAAACTCAACAGATAGCATTAGCTACATTGTACAAAATATTTTAAAGAAACTCATGAGACTTTAACACAGTTTTACTTTAAATTAGTTTTACTTTACCTTTAGTAGCATTATGTCATAATCAACTTCTCGAGTGTATTGTGGATGTGGATGGTAACTAGCCACTTGGATCCACTGCTGGCTTTTTTCTTCCTTGCTTATGTTATGTGCTCCAAGTACCACTGTCATTTTCTCATTTCTGACAAACAAGGGAACAAATAATGTTAACATTTGTTATACTTTGCATTTGACTTTAAAAGGGACTATGTACATTGATGATAAAACTAAACTGACTTTGAAATAATTACCATATAATGTAATTTGGACCCCTGATTTTATACCCCATTTGGTCTTGTTCTTACCATTGCATCATTGATACATCATTAATTTCTTTCAAATAAAAAATCAATTAGAATTGATTATTAACAAATCCTTTGTAGATTAGTCGTGTAAAGTAAACGGTTATTTAGCTGTAAACTGAATTTTTTTTCCTCACTCTATCTTGACACAAACTCACTTGTTTTTGCAGTGTGCTGCAGTTAGAACAAAGTCCTCTCGAATAAGTATCCCGCCGCATGAATGATGTCTGCGAAACTGGAGTGATGCCATGTAGGGTCTGGAATGAGGCTTTGAAACCTTTCCACCCACTATGCCACTTCCAGAGGCCCCTTACAGGAGAAGAGAAGGTGAATGAATACACAGATAAAACACAAACTCCTCAGGCAGACGATGCAAATGATTGTGATTACAGAATAATAAAAAAGAATTCCAACCTTATTCCAGCAGTGATTTTTAAAATAATTTCATCTGATCTTACCTGTAAGGAAGAGGAGGTGAAAGGAAAATAAAATGCAGAATGTGTGCATCATGGCCATTGTACAGAAGTAAAAGCTGAACAGTCTGGCTGGAATTGCTCCCCCTACCACCTTTTGTAGTCAGCTCTCCAACTCCCACAACGGAAACTTTGTGGGCGTGTGACAAATTTGCTCTTGCACAGACGAGTTGAGATCACACATTTCTACTGCAACATGAGTGAGACCCCTTTTATGAAAGCAGATAACTATTGACTTGTCATTTGAACCGGTATACGTGAAGTGGCCTCAAAGTAGTTTTGCCATGCTTAACTGTGAAGATTTAAATTTAAACAGATAAAACTGCCTTTTTCGGCCATCAATCTACTTTCAGTAACTCATAATAGCAAAGTGCAAGCATATTTTAGAATTTATTAAAGACCAAAAACTAAAATCTCTTAGATGCCTTTGCTGTGGCTCTCCAAACTGTCGTCATATGCATCTTTGTTTGACATGTACTTTACTGAGGTCCCACCTGTGGCAAATTGAACTGAACATAGTTCAGAAACCCCTGTATATATAAAGTCCCACAATTCATGTCAGGACAAAAACCAAGTCATAAAGTCCAAGGAGCTCAGTGTAGACCTCCATGATAAAATTATGAGCAGGCAGTGATCAGGGCTAGGGTATAAAAGTGTTTCTAAAGCTTTGAGTTTTTATAGGAGCAAAGTGGCCCCAATAGTTGTGAAATGGAAGATGTTTGTATCCACCAGCATTCTTCCTGGAATCTGGCCAAACTGAGTGACAAAGCAAGAAAGGCCTTTATCATAGAGCTTCAGAGGTCCTGTGTGGAGATGGACAGAGGTGAAAAGTAACTAAGTACATTTACTCAAGTACTGCACTTAAATACAGTTTTGAGGCACTGTATCTGTACTTTAAGTATTTTCATTTTCTGCTACTTCAGACTTTGACTTCACTGCATTTTAAAGAAAAATAATTACTTCATACCCACTACATTTGATAACTTTAGTTGCAAGTTACTTTTCAGACAGATTCATTAAATAAAATACAGTATAATCAGACTTGATCCATGGTGGGATCCACAAGCTACCCAGCTGTATGTAAAATATTTCAAAGTATAAGCATAAGTTAGTTAACATTAGCTCTACTTTTACCAGCTGTAACATTATTCTGCATAATGAGTACTTTTAGTACTTTAAGTATATTTTATGCCAATAGCTTTGTACTTTCGCTTAAGTGACAATTTGAATGCAGGACCTTTACTTGTACAGAATATTTTTACACTATGGTATTGCTACTTTTAGTTAAGTAAACAGCCTGAGTACCTCTACCACTATAGATGGAAGAGCCTGCAAGAAGGACAGTCATTTCAGCAACACTCCATCGAGCAGGCCTTACTGTAGAGAGCTAGAAAGAAGCCTTGAGTAATAAACATGCATTTTTTATTTTTTAGAATTTTTTTAGAAATACATTTACAAATATTTCTAATGTCTTCATTGTCATTATTGCATTATTTGGTGTTGACTGATTGACAAAATGGCATTTTATTTATCTAAACCTAGACCATCACAAAGGGAGCAAAAGGTGAAGGACGTTGCTAATTGTCTTGTTGTGCCTCAACATGTGAGATTGTGATTTTGTCACAGCAAGAATAAAAAATATAACTTTGATCACATTTGTGATAAGTTTATATGCTCGTTGCTTTTCTCATCTACTACGTACATGAAAATAATCACAATTTTTACTTTGCTTACTCTTTGTCTGTTGGGTGTTTTTATATTTACAGGAGCAGCATAAGGTTAAGAGGTAAAGGTTTGAGTGGAAACTGTCTAAGGAAACATTAACCACAGTGTAAAAAAAGGTAGCCTATTCACGCCTCTCACAGTGAACCACACACAGTTTCATCTCTCATGGGGATTAATATCTTTTTTTTTTTTTTTTTAAACCTTCAACAACCAAAAAAATCTAATGGGGAGTTCTATGACTCAGAATATTGGGCTGCACACTTGGTCCTGGAAGAATGATGTCTCACACAAGAGGTTTTGATATGTTAAAATGAATTGAGTATTATTAAACATAGTATATTGTATACAATACATTGTAATGTTTCTACTGTCCACTAGATGGAGCTTTAGACATTTCATTTGAGCAAAATACACTTAAAGGAAATAATGAGAAATATACAGTTAATGACATCCCTGCATTTCGGTCAGATAATGCACCAGTTCTCCCAGAAAATTGTTGTAATCACATTTTTTGGTATTCAATATTCAAAATCTTGTGGATACACTATGGTTTAAGATCAGTAAAATACAAGTGTAACTAACAGACATGTATTACATACACATAAAACATACAGAATTAAATGTCATAAGAATAAAGGTCGTCATGGGGTTAATATCCCTCAACGACAAGTCTGTGTACAGAAGGGAAGTGGGGAATCTTGTGGACTGCTGCAGGGCAAACAACCTCTGCACCAATGCAGGGAAGATGAAGGAGATGGTGGTGAACTTCAGGAGGAGTGGGCACACTTCTTTTCTTTATCGGAGGAGTGGCTGTGGAAATGGTTTCCAGCATAAAGTACTTAGGGCTTCACATTTCTAGGGACTTCACATGGACCATTAATACAGCCACCATCATAAAGAAGGCCCACCAGCATCTATGTTTCCTAAGGAGGCTCAAGTGGGCTGGCCTGGACGCTCTGGTCCTAACAGCCTTCTACTGGTATGTGGCGGAGAGCATCCTGACATCCTCCATCACAGTCTGGTATGGGAGCTGCTCTACCGCTGACAGAAAGGTGCTGCAGACGGTCATTAAATCGGCCCAAAACACTGTACACTGTAGTCTGCCTTCCACTGAGGACACCTACATCAGCAGGTGCAGAACCAGAGCCTCCTCTAGCATGGATGACCCCACACACCCAGCACATGGACTGTTTGAATTCCTTCCCTCAGGCAGGAGGCTGCGGCGCATCAAGGCCAGGACCACTAAGCTTAAATCCAGTTTCCTACCAGAAGCTGTGAGAATTATGAATCCTATGCCTCTTTGATGAACTGATGCATTTTTAAATATGACGCCCATTTGTTTTAATGCTGTTGTTATGTTTAGGTTTTATCACTTAGTGTGTTTACTTATTGCCATTCTATGGCAATAAGTATCTATTATTATTGTATATGCTTTTAATATACGCTGGCCCTGGGTGGCTAATTTTGTTCTTCATGACTCAAACATGTAGAATGATAATAAAGGAACCTTGAACAGGCAGACTCATTCAGCTAAACAAAACCCTTGGGATACTGGATACTATAGGCTATGTTTGAATCATGTGGTAGCAACAGGTTGCCATGGTTACAGTTGATAGTAGCTAGGCTAAAAAGTCATCATCTAAACAAATAGGCATATACTTGGGCTCTTACTAGTGAGATAACATTGTTTACTGCTAAAATTGTGACATCCCAGTGCAGTGTTCCAAACTTCATTATTCACTTCACTACAGATTTTATAAAACCTAATGAAAGTCACATTAAATACACTACTCGGATTTTTTCTTTATCGTTGCCTTTCTGCAACACTTGTGAATACAGAACAGGCAGGTTTTCAATGTCACCCATATTACAGTCAGTAGAATGATGACAAGAAAGCAGATGACGTCCAGGCTGTGGTACTGAATCCAGTTCAGGTCATGTGCAGCTACCCTTAGATGTGTTGCTCCTTTGTGTCTGATGACAAATTCAGTCCAGAAAACGGCCAGGTCCAAGGGCTGGACAGGGCGGTCCAGGTGTATCTGAGACAGCTCCACCATCTTCTCTTTGTAGCTATTAAAATATATACAGAAAATGTTAAATTAAAATTATTGTAATATAATTACAGAGTAGTATAAAAAACAAAAAATATTTTTTGAAATTCTTTTCACACTATACAGGTGTGAAAATAAAGTATTTGAAAGGGAAGAAAACCTTTGCACACTGTCTCCAAGAATAAGTAGAGGTGCATCAATTACATACAGTGCAATGATTCAAACATTTTCATTGCTCTGTCAACACAATACACACCCTGGTGAAAATATATGTAACTGGGGAAAATATAGTATATGCTTTGACAAATAATGAAACAAAGGTCTTGATAAAATATGTTTTAACCCACTCCACATGTTTTCTCAATTAAGTAAGCTGCTGCTTAGTGAACGTGGGTGGAGGCCAACATATACAACAATATGGAAACAGCACAAGTTATGGCACTTGTATCATGTGGAATGTGTATCTTTTACTTTGATTGTAAATTTCCATATACAGAGTCACTATTTTGGTTAAATTAATATCCAGTTGTCTTACCTTTTATTATGGATGAGTTTATTTATTGCATCCAATATTTCTTCAGTTGTTGCATCATAAGTATTGAGTTTCTCTGCAACACCACGGGACACCATGCGATTTGCATTGTCTCCCTGATCCCCAAACAGAGGAAACATCAACATGGGTACAGCATTGCAGATACTCTCAAAGATTCCATGGGTACCTCCATGAGTGATGAAGACTTTAGCTTTGGGATGTGCTGAAAAGCACAGAAACAGCCACAGTTACAGATCCAGTCGATCACAAATCAATGGCAGTAGCACTTAAAACCAAACATACCAAGGAGATCATTCTGAGGTAACCACTTTACAAGCCTGACATTCTTGGAAACATCTTCAGGTGGGACTCCAGTGAATCGCCATAAAACCTGAAACGTAAACAATTCCTTTTAATTTTAAACATGTGATATGTAACCTATTTAAGTACTGAACGGAGGCATTGGCATGATGACAGCAAGCAGTGGGGTTCCTCAAGGTTCTATTTTAGGCCCTGTTCGCTTGTCTCTTTATATGCTCCCCTATAGGGTCTTTTATAAAGAAGTACAACCTCTCTTTCCATTGTTATGACATACAAATCTATTTGCCATTGAGGTTAAAAGTAAACAAGTCACTGCAGTCTTTGTTTGACTGTTTAAATCAAAACCTGGCTGACAAGTAATTTCCTTTACCTTAATGAAAACAAGATGGAGTGTATAATATTTAGTGGTTCAACACTGGTTTAAATCTTGGTGCCTTGACTTCTTATGTAAAACTTGCAGTAAAGAACTCTGGGGTGATATGTGACAGTGACCTACATTTTGAAAAACAGATTCATTCTGTTGTAAAAGCCAGCTTTTTTCATCTTATACTGTTAATTAAATTAAAGTCCTTCATCTCTGTGAATGAATTTGAAAAGGCTGCTCACCATTTACTGAGCATTTGCGGTAGCAGCACCAAAATTGTGGAATACCTTACCAAAAAATAAATCAATATTAGATCTGTCACAGACTTGGCAGTTTTTAAATGGATGTTTATTAGACCTGTTTATTCCCTTTGGCTTTTGGATCACAGAGGAGCTCTAATACCTCCCACTAAGTTTGTTTTATTGTCCCTCTGTTTTTTGTCATTTTTGTTTTTGTTTTATTTTTTTGTCTGTATTTAGTTTTGTCTTGCAAAGTACTTTGGTCAGCATGCTATGGTTTGATTTGAAGTCAGAGGACAAAGTCCTATGGTTCAATATGATTAAGGCTTTTGCAAATGTTTGACAAACCTATAGACTGATGAATGTTTTAAGTGATGAAAACAACAGCTGTCAAATAAAAGTAATAGGTTTGGATTTAACTCAAGTGATTTCATCAGTTAACATCACTGTTACCCTTTGAGGAATTTGCCGAAAGGCATCAAAGAACTGTTTAGCCTTCTCCTCAGGCATATTGGTCACCATTGATCCCAGGGTAAAGATAATAAAGCCGTCTTCTCCAGAGCCATCCACAAACTCCTCCAAGTCCTGCAGGGAGGTTGGAGAAGACACGTAAATAACTGTAAGAAGTTTTTTTTCACATGCAGCCATGATGTTCCTTCTTTCTGCAAACTGCTGTCATACATTATTTTTAAATATAGTAAGAATAATTCATTTGATCACCAATGTATTCATCACAAATTGACCCAATTAAGTAGATGCATAATCTTATTTGTGCTTATACCAACAAATGTTTTACTTTAGCTGAGTTACATATTCATTCTGTTTCCTGAATCTTTCTGCTGTTACATTCGTGGATCGGGCCATTCTAGTGATGTGTCGTTCACAAACGATTCCTTCATTCTGAACAAATCTCTCCCATGACTCGAGAACATCGGGTCGTCTCGGGGAGTGATTCATTCATCTTGTGTTGACCGTGCATGCGCAACATCGCATAAGATTAGTACACCTTTCGAGTCCTTGATTTCGAGTCGTTCTTTTTTTGTAACGTGACATGACCGCTTTGTTGGATACAGAAATTAGTTAATTTTCAACCGTCCTTACAGTTTTTTTTACTCTTACTGTTACGTGATGCATTTATTTTTATTATAAAATAGCTTTTTATTTCCTACAGACTATAATTTAGTGAATATCTGTCAATATGTTTCTTTTCCATAACACTGAATGTGTTAATAAAGAGTTGGTTAATGCTTTAAACTTCGTCAGGGAAAATCTTTCTGTACTACTATACTATACAGAAGATGGCACAACGGGGCACCTAGACGAACTTTCGTCCCGGACTCGGTGCGCACGTCAGCTCTAAATTGGGCCCATGCCTCACGTTTCACCTGTCACCCCGGTATCTATTCCACTCTGTCCGTACTCAAGCAACATTTTTGGTGGCCCACCATGGACCAAGACGTCCACCAGTTTGTTAGAGCCTGCTCTATTTGTGCCCACTCTAAGAGCTCTCACCAACCTCCCTCTGGTCTGCTGCTCCCCTTTCACATACCCAGTCATCCTTGGTCCCACATTGCCATTGATTTTATTACAGGGCATTACAGGGAGGTACTGTTGCGTCCATGAATCGGGCCATTCCCAGCACCTCGTCAGCAGGCACAGGGACTGACGGCAAATCTGCCACCGCACATGTGGGAGCGCACTCTCCGCGGCGAGGCACATCTGCTTTCAATCATCAGAGCAGTACTTAAGAACAACGTGCGAGTCCTGCATTTTCCTGAGTCTTTCCTCATTGTTTGTGATACGGCTCACTGTAATATCTGCAAGTGTTAATGCAGAGATTATGAACTCCTTGAATCTATCCTAGTTTACAAAATATGCATACTTGTTTACTGTAGCATACATTCTTTACTTACCGCTTGCAGAGGAGCTTTCTTTGCACAGTTGATACCTCCAATAAAAACCATGTTTGGCATGAGAGGTCTGGGCCATTCCAAAGCAAAGTCAGTTCTGACAAGCCAGATAGCACCGTGACTAATAAGGTCCCTGTAGGTCATGTTGTCTCTTATGTATTTGATGGTCAGATCATCAAAGTGGGCATAGATTATTTTGCACAGGTAGGAGTTCATAATCGACATGACCATGTTTTTGACTCTCTGTGGGAAAGACATGACGTCTGTATTATCAGAATAAAATACAGGAACATAGGAAGGAGGAGAGGGGCACTGGTTAGCCTTCATATCTAGCTCACATGGAAGTCCGCGCAGAAAATAAACAGCTGGAATGGAAAAGAGATGAGCCAGTATGGAGCCACAGGGAAGGAAGGGGTCTGTAAGCATGAGGTCGAAGCCTTTTCCCCTCAGTCGGCTCATGAGAGGCTGGTTGTTCAGCAAACTCTCACAACCTTTCACCTTTATCAAAGTAAAATCAATGAAACGCTGAACATTGAAAAACAAATCTTGGAAGCCTGGTGGAGTGAGGAATGCTCCATTCCCCAGCTGCCTGATATTTTTATCCTGGTCAGCTTTGGTGTACGGCACTTGGTAGATTTCAGTCTTGTAGTCCTCTGAGCCATGGATCAGCAGGCTTGTTTCAGGTACCAGCACCACAACCTCATGGCCCCTGTGGGTGAGCTCCTTCACCAGTATCTTCATGCTAAGCCAGTGGCTCCCATCCACAGGCATAACCAGTAACGCATACCCAGTATCTCCCCCCCCTCAATGGGCACCAGATTGAGGCAACACAGCCAGGCCGCCAGCCCCAGTGAAGGAAACCACACCCCGCTGCTCATTGCGTGCTCTCTGTACTTCAGGCTGCCTGTTGTTAAGAGGTGGCTTTATGTGTGTGCATGTGTGTTTAAATTCTACAGGAAGTTCAGACTGCATTTGTAGGCGGGCTATTATTTAACCATGGAAGACAGTGACAGCAGAGATTCCTAGTGGAAGTTTATTATTCAGTTTTTCTCCAGTTAATCATTCTCTTATGTGACATGGTCTGTTTTTTTTTTGTTTTTTTTTACTTTCATTTCCATCTTTCCTGTCATATTCTGGTGTATTTGTAAAATGTTTGTTTACCCAACAGTGTAAAATGTACACAGAAATCTCATCATGTAATGGAATTATAGTCCTTGCAGCTTTGTTTAATGCTGACTGGGATCCAGTTTATACAAAGGGTCAATGGCAACCTGATATCAGTATTTAGAGTAGGCTACAAGACAATGGGTGTTTCTCTATATGGTGTGAAGTTGGGTCATGTTTGCGGTTTTGGAGACAAACAGTTGGTAAGAACAACTGTCTACATAGTCAACAGTGTGTGCCAATTACCAAATGCAGCTGACATTGGGCAAGAGGTGAGGTACACCTTGGACAGGTTGCCAGTCTAACACAGGATCAAGATGTAGAGAAAGAACCACACACACTCACACTCACTCCTACAGGCAAGTTAGAGTCACCAGTCAACCTAAGCTGCATGTTTTTGGACTGTGGGAGGAAGCCAGAGTGCCCGGAGAGAACCCACACAGGCTCAGGGAGACAACGCAAACTCCACACAGAAAGGTCGGCCGGCGCTCAAACCTGAACCCTTCTTGCTGTGAGGTGACATCCATCCATTCATTCATCCATTAACTATACTGCTTATTCCTGAACAGAGCCATGGGGGAGGCTGGAGCCAACAAGTTGGCTATTGTTCCTGTGTCCTGATGCATAGAAGGGGCCATTCCTGCAACCCCGCTCTATGCCAGGCCTAATCCCAGTTCTGCCTGCCTGCTGGTTACTGCCTGGCCGTCCCACCAGATTCTGTTCCCAGCCTCTCCAGCACCCACCAGTCCCAGCCCTATTCCAGTGTATTCCATCAGTCCACCCTCATGTCCACTAGCTCAGCTCAGCTCAGCTCCATATGACCTGTTAGCTCTGCTCCCGTACAGCATACCCAGCACTACTCACTTCTGTCTGCCCAGCACTATCCTGCTTTGCCGGTCTGGCTCTACTCCTGCTTCGCCAAACCGTCACAACCCAGGCTCTGCCTGTCTGGGTTTGTTCTTGCTCTGCCAGTCAGCTCCACTTCTGTTCAACTTGCCTGGCTCTACTCCAACCCTGCCTGCCCTGCTCCATACCCACTCAGCCTGCCCTGCTCAACTCCAGCTCTGCCTGCCTGGCTCACTCCTGCTCAATCTGCTCGACTTCCTGCCTAGCTCTGAGGCCGTCCTCCCGAGCGGCCTTGACTCCCGGCTCAGCTCCGAGGTTGTACTCCCGAGTGGCCACCTCATATCTCTGTCTGGCTCAGAGGCCATCTGCACGAGCAGCCTCCTCAGGTCCTTGCCTGGTACCCAGTCCTGCCTCCCAAGTGGCCTAGGAAAAATTGTACAGGCAGGAATATATTAGACCGTATGTTTTTCATAAGATGTACAGTATATTTTCAAAGAATGGCCTCAGTCATTGCCATCATGTTATATGTGTTTAAGGAAATGCAGTAATGGCACTATGGTTGAGATTTTACAAACAAACTACACATCGATATAGCCTAGACACGTCCCATGCAATGTTACAACCTCCATTATTCACTTCACTACAGAATTTTTAAAAAATAGAGACATCCTGTTTTATTATTACAGTACCTGCCAATACCGATTCCAATCTGCTACTTATATTTACGTACAGTAAATGTTCATTAAACAGCTGACATACTGAAATTGAAGTTAATCTGGCACACCATATTTTTCATGAACTTGTTGCTCCAAATACTGGATAAAGTCCAGGTTCCAAAATATTAAGTTTATCTTCTTAAATTATTGGGATAAGCAGCATAAATAATGAATGGATGGATGATATAAATAAAAGAATAACTGAGAACTGAGCAACACACTCTCAGAACAATAGATTCATTACAGGGCAGATACTAACTGCTACTTTGTATCTGTATGTGAGCACAGTTTGTGTAAATAGAAGTATAGTGATTTTTGTTGAAGTACTGCAGCACAGCTATGACACATGCACATGCAAGGGCACGGTTAAGTTGTGACCACATAAGTACTTTTCCTATGGTGGCAAGTTTATATTCATTAAAATTAGGCAACTGTAGTTGCCCACATGATCAAATGTTAGTGACTTTATTGCCTGGTGTGGCAGAACAACAGCATAAATTAGACATTTGTCAGAGAGTGAATGTTAAAGCTATAGGCTGCCAAATCATGTCAAATAATGAGAAAAGGGATTAATATCTTTTCTTCTGTTTTTTTTGTTAAACCTTCAACAACCAATAGGGATTTGCTGAAAACCAAAAAAATCTAATGGGGAGTTCTATGACTCAGAATATTGGGCTGCACACTTGGTCCTGGAAGAATGATGTCTCACACAAGAGGTTTTGATATGTTAAAATGAATTGAGTATTATTAAACATAGTATATTGTATACAATACATTGTAATGTTTCTACTGTCCACTAGATGGAGCTTTAGACATTTCATTTGAGCAAAATACACTTAAAGGAAATAATGAGAAATATACAGTTAATGACATCCCTGCATTTCGGTCAGATAATGCACCAGTTCTCCCAGAAAATTGTTGTAATCACATTTTTTGGTATTCAATATTCAAAATCTTGTGGATACACTATGGTTTAAGATCAGTAAAATACAAGTGTAACTAACAGACATGTATTACATACACATAAAACATACAGAATTAAATGTCATAAGAATAAAGGTCGTCATGGGGTTAATATCCCTCAACGACAAGTCTGTGTACAGAAGGGAAGTGGGGAATCTTGTGGACTGCTGCAGGGCAAACAACCTCTGCACCAATGCAGGGAAGATGAAGGAGATGGTGGTGAACTTCAGGAGGAGTGGGCACACTTCTTTTCTTTATCGGAGGAGTGGCTGTGGAAATGGTTTCCAGCATAAAGTACTTAGGGCTTCACATTTCTAGGGACTTCACATGGACCATTAATACAGCCACCATCATAAAGAAGGCCCACCAGCATCTATGTTTCCTAAGGAGGCTCAAGTGGGCTGGCCTGGACGCTCTGGTCCTAACAGCCTTCTACTGGTATGTGGCGGAGAGCATCCTGACATCCTCCATCACAGTCTGGTATGGGAGCTGCTCTACCGCTGACAGAAAGGTGCTGCAGACGGTCATTAAATCGGCCCAAAACACTGTACACTGTAGTCTGCCTTCCACTGAGGACACCTACATCAGCAGGTGCAGAACCAGAGCCTCCTCTAGCATGGATGACCCCACACACCCAGCACATGGACTGTTTGAATTCCTTCCCTCAGGCAGGAGGCTGCGGCGCATCAAGGCCAGGACCACTAAGCTTAAATCCAGTTTCCTACCAGAAGCTGTGAGAATTATGAATCCTAGGCCTCTTTGATGGACTGATGCATTTTAAATATGATGTCCATTTGTTTTAATGCTGTTGTTACATTTAGGTTTCATCATTTAGAGTGTATTTATTTATTTTCATATTATTATTTTAATATATTTATTATTTAATATATGCTGGTCCTAAGTGATTAATTTCATTCTTCATGTGTCAAATGCATAGAATGACAATACAGGAACCTTGAACCTTAAATTTGGTCAGCTTTGTTTTGCTGTAGCTAGCACTGGAGTTCCTCTTTCAGCTTATTTTAGCTGGGATGTTTTGGTCTGCTCTTGTTTAGTTCTGGCTGACTCTGATTTGTTTTTGTCCTCTACAGTTACATGAATAGTTTTCACCTGATTTGTTACCTTTGGGCAGTTTTAAAAGCTGCTTTGTTATTGATTGTCTCTCATTTTTTCCTCTGACTCAACCTTACACTTAAAACCTATTCATGAAATTTTCAAAAATCATCCAGAGTCACTTCTTCTCTATGTCAGTGCAACTGTGCTTCCTGTGATGTGTTCATACAGGTATACATGTATTCAGCAGCGACATTCTGTGAAAATGTCAAGTGCCGAAATTCTACTCAAATAGCAGAGTATAAAATAAAGGTGGTGGAAGAGTGTATAAGCACTTCTCCTCTAGACCTGATCATATGAGGGATCAACAGAGGCATTTATATTGTAGGACCGTGAGTTTTTCTGATGTTATTACGAGCCATTTCAGTAGCATAATACTAATACTTCAGCTATATATTACCAGATGCATGCAGATTTTTGAAGGATTTCTTAATGAAGAACTTAATCTGTATGGAGTGACATGCAGCATTTGCAGAAATGTTAAAAATGAACTTTCTGGCATATCATCCTGAATGTTTTATAGTTAATTTTATTATTTATTTGAATGCTTTTCTCTTTCTCTGTGCATTTTCTCTGCACAGAGAAAGTTTTATCTGTTGTTTTATCGATCTGTGTACATTGTGTTGAACACTTTGAATTGCCTTTGTGAAGGAAAATGTGCTATATAAATAGATTTGCCTTGCCTTGCTTTAAAAACATGATTTTTCCACAATCCATTTTGTTATTAAAATAGATGCATATGAGCTGGTTTAGTAGCAGGTTGGTGTTTGTATGAATGCATTTGTGTGTGTGTGTGTACAAGTTCATCTAACATTCTGTTTAGTTTGGACTATGAGGACATGCTAAATGCTGTGCAGTACAAGGTGTTATGACTGCATGTTCTTATGTTTTACTGTTCAGTGTCATGGGATTTTAATGAGTGACCGGTGTGATTATATGGCACATGCTGTTAAAACAACACCTGCAATCTTCTTTGCATGCTTTATGAGTGTATGTGTCATGAGAGGTTAATTCTGCTCTGAGATCAGTTGATTGCAGGATTAAACGGTTAGCACTCTGAAATATAAATACTGTAT